TGGGGAGGCAGTCCCAGGGGGCCCTGCCGGGGTGGGCTTCAGCCTTGGGTGCTTCCTTCCTGTGTTTCCTTGCTTCAGAGCTGGTGGCTTTTTCTTAACAGGGGAAGTTTGTTTGGCATCAGGTCTGGGGGCAGCGGTGGCTGTAGGCAGGAGCGGCGTGGTCTCCTCCGGGGCTGGCAGGAGGTTGAGGGCAGTGCCCTGCCCCTGCTCTCCAACTCCAGGGTCTGGACCCACAGCATGCCCAAAATCCTCAGCTCCACCAGTCAAACCAGTGCTGTGCCCCAGCTCTGCAGCTCCACCACTCGTCTTCTCCAGGGGTTCATCCACAGCCAGAGGGTCCGGGCTGGCCGGCACCAGCGCTGCCCCCGATCCGCTGTCTGCAAGAAACAGGGAGAAGTGGGACTTGGGCAAAGCTGGGCACCAAAATAGATATTTTGTGTGCTGCTGGTGTGAAATCAGCCCCCTGGGAAGCTGCAGGAACACCCACCACTTCCCAAAGAAGGAACGAGCAGCCCCCACAGCACAACACAGCCACCTCCAGGCATCGCCGTGTTGGGCAAACCCAACCCAACATTTATGGGAAAAGGGATGGGCAGGAAATAGCCAATGACCAAAGCCACCCAGCACAGCTCTGGCCAAGGGGTAATTGCACAAATACAGATTTATCCCCCTCTGTGGGGTGACCGGGCTGTGATCCATGGGCTGGAATTCACTGTGAGCTCTGTGAGACGCCGCAAAGAGCTCCGAGCGCCCGAGAGTCAACGCTTTCCATGGAAACAGCAGTTGCCAGGGAAAGCACTTAATGCACACTACTTAAACACCATCATTCCAGCCCCCTCGTGTCCCCTGGGAGGGTTTGGAGCCCATGGAATGAAGGGTGTCTGTCCCTCTGTGGGCACAGGGGGTTTGCAAACCCCCAGCCCCATTGCTGGCCAAGCAACAACTGAGCCCTAAAGCAGCTCCAGCTGCTGTGACACGCCTGTGGTGGCAGCCAGGACATGTGGCCACCACAGCACCAGCTCTCCATGGGATGGAGCCTGGAGCAGCAGTCAGGGTTCCCTTCCCAAGCAGACTCCAGATAAACTTGGGCTCACCTCAGCAGTAACTTTAAACAAAAGCACAACTCTTGGGTTGCATTTAACTTGATGTTTTCTGTTTCAAATTCTGCTAATTAAGGTAGGACTGGAATGAAAAGGAGGGGAAAAAATTGAGCTTTTGTGTGTGAACTCTGAAACACAGGGACACTGTGGGTGCCACTGCCCAGGGGGAACGAGGGAGGGCACAAGCAGCCTGTGCAGAGGGACTGAGCTGCGCTCAAAACTGACTTTGCTCCATCTCCTGGAAAACAGAAGCAGTTTCTGACAAGAACCAAAGATAAGGAACACAACAGGGAAAGGCAAAAGCTGAATTAGCCTGAAGGATGGAGCTGGCAAAACTCTGGCAGTCCCTACACTGCTCATTGGTACAGGAGAGTCCTTGGACACTCTGCTGGTGCCTGGGCAGGTCCCTTGTCTCTGGGACAAGCCATTTCACCCTGCTGCCACCACCCTGCTGCAGCCACCAGCAAACCTGTCCTGGCCCCCCAAGGGCTCCCTGGCCTCTCCTGCTGTTTGCCACAAATTAAAGCATTAATTCTTTAATTACCAAGTGGTTCAGCAAATCCATCTCCCATTCCCTGAGCGCATTAGGACATTTCACACACATCATCTGCAACCATCAGCTTGTGCCAGCTCTGAATAATCATCCCCCCAGGAAGGCTGGGTGCCTCAGTGTCCCCACACTTCTGGGGGACCAGAAGCTTTCACGCCAGGAGCTTCCACACCTTCTGGTTGTTTCTTGGTGTCTCTGCTTCTCTCTCCATCCCACCCTGGGCCTCCATGGGCACCCTGCCATGAGCTGATGGGGTGGAATGTCCCCAAGGCCATGCCACTGGCAGCTCTCCTTCCCTGAGAAGTTTTGCAGGGCTGTCCAGAGTTCTTCTCTTCCTCTCCCACCCCAAGGCCAGGAGGAGCAGTGGGTGGTTGCTCTCCCATGGCCCAGGTGACAATTTCAGGGCTCTGCAGCAAGAAGTTTTGTCCATGATGAGAGAGGATGAGGCTCTCAGACAGGGAGAAAGCACAGGGAAGGGAGAGGGCTCACTGGCTGATAGGACAGGGTAGGACATTCTGAGACATTCTGGGACATTCTGGGACACCAGCTCACAACAGAACAGTCAAGGACCCCGAATCCTTAAAGCCAACACATTCCTAAAAACACCAACCCTGCACCCCCCGGGTTATTTGTCATATGAACCCTAATTCTTAATGGATTGTGCCTTTAAACCATATTTTATGCTTTTGGAAAGCTGACTAATTCCTTATTAGATCCTTTGCCAGGATGCATTTACTCGATTTTGTCCTTAACAAAGCATGAAATAAAACACTCTGTAAAGCGACTCCTTAATGAGCCACTAAACACGCCGCAGTTTGTAAAGGGCAAATGCATTCCAGGGAAGGGGAGAGGGCTGGAGCAGGGGAGGGGCAGGCACAGGGCATCGGGGATCAATAAGGGCTTATTCCACATTATCAGAAAGAGAATTGATTGTGGTTTTCAGCTCCTGATTGATCACCATCCCCAAACCTCCCTCCCCATGGAGCTCGGTGCTGCCCCACAGCCCCACAGCCCCCTGATTCCTTCCTGGAGCCCTTTTGGGAAGCAGAACTGAATATTCCCATTCTTAAGGAAGGACTGCAGTGTGTTTCCATGTTTGCAAGGCCAGGGTGGGATTTGGTGAGATCCTTTCCACACTGATCTGAATTCCAACAGCCATTCCACCCCGTCCAAGGCCCATGGGGTGATCGTGGCCACACAGGACCCTCCCCAGCTGCCAAAACCCATCCTGCTCTGCACAAGTGATCAATCCAGAGCTGCTGGAAGAGAAATGGTCACCTTGAATGGTTTGACCTTGATCTAATCTGGAAATAGGAAATAAACACTATTGAGATGCACAAGGGGTTTGTCTTGTACCCTGATCAAGAGCTCTCCAAGGGCAGTTTGGCACTGGAAAGCCTTCTCCAAACCCATGTGTGAAAAATGCATATTTTATGATAGGCTTTTCACAAATATTAAAAAGAATATTATATGTGTTATGTTAGAAAGTTATGCTGTATTAATTTTCTTAAGTAGTGTGTTAAATATAGTTTTAGGTTACAACATAATGTTAAAATAAAAACTATGCTATGTAAGATACTTTTTTTTTAAAGAAAGGACTCGCACAGAGATAGCAGCCACAGGACACCTGAATCTTTCAGAGAAAGAGGATTTTTTACTCTCTTATCAGAAGAAATAAACTTCTTCCTGCATTGCTGAGCCATGAAGATGCTGTTAGGATTAAGAGGAAGAAGCTGATGCTGACCAGACAGAAGCCTGTGTTTGAATGGAATTTATGAATCATGCATGAGGTGTATGAATGTGCAACAGGCTGTTGTTTGTAAGGGTCAATCCTCTGTTAACATGAGTCCTTTTTCAGGCTTATTTTGCCCAGAAAAAGGTACCTGGACTGTCCATAACTCTTTGTTTTTATTGTCTCATATTGTCCTATCCAAACTATCCAAATTATTATTGCTCTAATTATATTGCTATTTTTACAATGTTATAACCATTTTATTAGTAGTAAACTTTTTATTATTTTTTATTAGTAGTAATATTATGTATTTATTATTATATTATATTACTTATTATAAAATTATAATATTTTTATAATATTATAATATTGAATATTAGTAATATTGTGTTATTAGTAAACTTTTAAAATTTAAAAAAATACAAATGATTGGCATTTTTCACACATGTTAACCTTAGTGGTGGCCTTGCAGCCATCGCTACCCCCGAGGGTGGCACGGGGGGCTCTGTGCCCTGCCCATGGGCACAGCAGCTGCTCCTGCAGGATGGGCCAGGCAGGGCCGGGACAGTTTGGAGCACAAAGTGACCTTATCAGGGAAGGACAGCTGGTCTCCAGGCCTATTCTGGGCCGTGCCTGGGTGTGTGCAAACCCTGCAGGAAGCTGGGCTCCGGGGAGGGAGGATGTCTCCATTAGCCCCCACAGTTTATACTTAGCCGAGGAGGAAGCGCCGGTGCCGAGCCTGGGCTGTGTGTGGGAGCTGCCAGAGGGGCACAGCCCCATCCCAGGGCTGGGCTGGTGGCACCAGGCTCTCCAGGGCACCAGGTGATTAAGGAATTAATGCTTTAACTTGTGGCAAACAGCAGGAGAGACCCAACAGCAGGACAGGAGGGGTGGCAGGGCAGCAGCTCCCGGAGCATCTCCTCTCACACAGACAACGCACTGGGTGGTGTGTTGGCAGGGTACCAACACACATCAGCAGAGAGGCACCAAAATCCTCCTCCCCAGCCCCAAAATCCTCCTCCCCAGCCCCAAAATCTCCTCCCCAGCCCCAAAATTCTCTCCCCAACTCCAAAGCTTCATCCCTATGCAAGAGTGTCCCCAGTACCCGCAGCCAGGCCCACGTCCCGTGGCCAGCACACGGCTGCTACTCCAGTGGCACCAGGAGAATCTGATTGCCAAGATACCTCAGCCAGAGGGGTTTAGAGGAATTAGAGAGCTGCAAATGCCTGATAAAAGGCTGCTGGAATTATCACAAAGACCTCGTTTCGCTGCTGTGCTCCCGAAAGAGCCAAAGCAGGAGTAGCCCTATCGCAGCTCCCGTTACTAATGCCGATGGTATCGCCCTGAGCGCTCGCTCCAGGGAGGGCAGCAGGATTGCTCCAGCTCAGGAATCACTGTCCAGAAGGGTTTAGGATCTGATTGTAGCAGAAATGAATAAAGCTGATCCAGGCACTATTAGTGGTGGTGTTCAGCTCTGCGTGTGTGACGGGCTCAGGTGCATTCAGGGGTGATGGGCTGGGGTAATCCTGCCCAGAGATGCTGCTGGCATCATATCCAAGGCCTTGTGGGGAACTGGGATTTATCCTGCACTGCCCAGCACCCTCTGCATGAAGGCTGAGCCTCTGGAGTTCCTCATTCCCATATGATTGATGCAGGAGGGTTGGCAGGAACTGCCCTGCACCTGTGTGGAGGAATGGAATCACAATGAATTCATCCAGATCTTGGATAAAGCAGGGAGGCCAAGACCAGGTCCTGATGTGTCAAAGACATCTTCTATGAAAAATCCTTTCCTTAGGAATTTTTCCTCCTGAGAAGCTGAGAGGCATCAGGAACAAAATGTAAACATTGATTATCTGCTGCTGTGGAATGCAACAGGTGCATCTGTGATTGGTCTCATGTGGTTGTTTCTAACTAATGGCCAATCACAGTCAGCTGGCTCAGACTCTCAGCCCAAGCCACAAGCCTTTATTTTCATTCTTTCTTTTTCTATTCTTA